CTCCCAGTCCCTCCCAGTCCCTCCCAGTCCCCCCCAGTCCCTCCCAGTGCCCCCCAGTCCCTCCCAGTCCCTCCCAGTCCCCCCCAGTCCCCCGCAGTTGATCCCAGTCTGTCCCAGTGCAGGAACTGTGATTACCAGCAGGAGGCCGACAACAGCTGCATCTACGTCAACAAGATCACGCACGAAGTGGAGTGAGTGCCCAGAGACCTCCGTGTCCCCAAATATCCCCAAAATATCCCTTAAATATTCCCTAAAATATTCTCAAAGTATCCCCAAAATATCCCCAAAATATTCCCCAAATAGCCACAAAATATTGTTAAATATTCCCCAAAATATTCTCAAAGTATCCCCAAAATATTCCCCAAAATAGTCTGAAACTATTCGCAAAATATTCCCAAATATTCTTTAAAATACTCTCAAAATATTGTGAAAATATTCTTAAATATTCCCCAAAATATCCTCAAAGTATCCCCAAAATACTCACAAAATATCCCCAAATATTCACAAAATATCCTTGAAATGTCCCCAAAATATTCTCAAAATATCCCCAAAATATTCTCAAAATTTCCCCAAAACGTTCCCAAAATATTTCTAAAATATTCTCAAAATAACCTGAAAATGTTCTCAAAATGTTCCCAAAATATGCTGTGGGTGGATTTTGGGGGGATTTTTTTGGGAATTCTGGGATGATTTTTTGGGAATTTTTGGGGAATTCTGGGTGGATTTTAGGGAATTTTTGGGGAATTCTGGGAGGATTTTTGAGGAATTCTGGGAGGATTTGGGGGAATTTTTTGGGAATTTTGGGTGGACTTTTGGGGAATTCAGGGAGGTTTTGGGGGAATTTTTGAGGGAATTTTTGGGGAATTTTTGGGGAACTCTGGGTAGATTTTTGGGGGAATTCTGGGTAGGTGTTTTTTTTTTCATTTTGGGGGAATTCTAGGTGGAATTTTTGGGGAATTCTGAGTGTGTTTTTGGGGGGGGGATTTTATGGGGAAATTTTAGGGAATTTTTTGGAGAATTTTTGAGGAATTCTGGGTAGATTTTTAAGGAGTTCTGGGTGGATTTGGGGGAATTTTTCTGGAATTTTTAGAGATTTTGGTGGGAATTTGGGCAGAACTCCAGGGGCTTCCATCATGGGAGGATGTTTTGGGAACTCTGGGTGGATTTTGGGGTAATTTTTGGGAATTCTGGGTGGGTTTTGGGGTAATTTTAGGGAATTCTGGGTGGGTTTTGGGGTCATTTTAGGGAGTTCTGGGTGGATTTTGGGGTCATTTTAGGGAATTCTGGGTGGATTTTGGGGTCATTTTTGGGAATCCTGGGTGGATTTTGGGGTCATTTTGGGGAATTGTGGGTGGATTTTGGGGTCATTTTTGGCAATTCTGGGTGGACTTTGGGGTCATTTTAGGGAATTTTGGGTGTTTTTGCAGCGAGCTGACCCAGATCATCGCGGACGTGTCGCAGGACCCGACCCTGCCCCGCACCGAGGATCACCCGTGCCAGAAGTGAGCCCTGGGGACACCGTGGGGACACCTTGGGGACATCAGAGCCACCTTGGGGACACCTTGAGGGACAGCTGGGAGACATCAGGGACCTCTGGGGACACCTGGGGGACACCTTGGGGGACACTTGGGGGACACCTTGAGGACACTTGGGGGACACCTGAGGACATCTTGGTGACATCCTGGGGGACATCAGGGACCTTTGGGGCCACCTGGGGGACATCAGAACCACCTTGGGGACACTTGAAGGACACCTCAGGGACATCAGGGAGCTTTGGGGCCACCTGGGGGACATCAGAGCCACCTTGGGGACACCTTGGGGACATCAGAGCCACCTTGGGGACACCTGGGGGACATTGGAGCCACCTTGGGGACACCTGGGGACATCAGGGAGCTTTGGGGACACCTGGAGGACATCAGGGAGCTTTGGGGACACCTGGGGGACATCAGAGCCATCTCGGTGACATCAGACCCACCTTGGGGACACCTGGGGGACAGTAGAGACACTTGGGGACACCTGGGGACACCTGGGGACATCATGGAGCTTTGGGGACACCTGGGGACAGTGTCGGTGTCCCTGTGCAGGTGTGGCCACAAGGAGGCCGTGTTCTTCCAGTCGCACAGCGCCCGTGCCGAGGTGAGACCAAAACCCCAAAAAACTCCAAAAAAAACCCCCAAAATCCCCCCCAAAACCCCCAAAATTATCCCAAACAACCTCCAAAATTCTCCCCAAAAAACACCCAAAATCCTCTTAAAAATCCCCAAAATTGTCCCTAAAAAACTTCAAAATTCTCCCCAAAAACCTCCAAAATCATCCCTAAAAAAACCCAAAATTCTGCCAAAAATTCCCCAGAATCATTCCTATATAACCCTAAAATTTGCCCAAAAAACCCTCAAAATCCTCCCAAAAAAACCCCAAAATTCTCAAAAGTGACCCTGGACCCCCAAAGTGACCCCAGGAGGGACCCCAAAAGTGACCCAGGAGGGACCCTAAAACTGACCCTGGACCCCCAAAGTGACCCCAGGAGGGACCCCAACAGTGACCCCAACAGTAACCCAGGACCCCGGGAGTGACCCCTAAAATGACCCCAAAAATGACCCCAGGAGTGACCCCAAAAATGCTCCAGGAGCGATCCCAAAAGTGACCCCTGGATGGATCCCTGAGATCCCAAAAGTGACCCCAAAAATGACCCTGAACCCCCAAAGTGACCCCAGGAGGGACCCCAACAGTGATCCAGGAGGGACCCCAAAAGTGACCCCAGGAGTAGCCCCAAAAATGATCCAGGAGCGATCCCAAAAGTGACCCCTGGACCCCAAAAACGACCTCAGGAGTGACCCCAAAAGTGACTCTGGATGGATCCCTGAGACCCCAAAAGTGACCCCAAAAGTGACCCAGGACCCCAGGAGTGACCCCAAAAATAACCCCAGGAGTGACCCCAGAAGGGACCCCAGGAGTGACCCCAAAAATGACCCTGGATGGATCCCTGAGACCCCAAAAGTGACCTCAGGACCCCACGAGTGACCCCTAAAATGACCCCAAAAAGAACCCCAGGAGTGACCCCAAAAACTACCATGGATGGATCCCTGAGGCCCCAAAAGTGACCCCGGACCCCAAGAGTGACCCCAAAAATGACCCCAAGAGTGACCCCAAAAAATGATCCAGGAGCGATCCCAAAAGTGACCCCAGGAGGGACCCCAACAGTGACCCAGGAGTGACCCTAAAACCGACCCTGGACCCCCAAAAGTGACCCCAGGAGGGACCCCAACAGTGACCCTAAAAGTGACCCAGGACCCCAAAAGTGACCCCAGGAGTGACCCCCAAGAGTGACCCCAAAAGTGACCCCAGGAGTGACCCCAAAAGTGACCCCCAGAACCTCTGAGACCCCAAAACCAAATTTGGGCCCCAAAAGTGACCCCAGGAGGGTCCCAAAAGTGACCCAGGACCCCAAAAGTGACCCCAGGAGTGACCCCCAAGAGTGACCCCAAAAGTGACCCCAGAGGAGCCAGCCGAGACCCCAAAATTCCCCTTTCCCCCCCCAAAATTCCCCCTTTCCCCCCAAAATTTCCCCATTTCCCCCCAAAATCCAAACTCAAACCCACAAAATTTTTTGGGAATTTTTATTCCTATCCACCAAAATTTTCTGGGAAAGGGAAAGGGAGGGAGGAGGGGATTAAATAAGACAAAAAAGGAGGGAACGGGGAGGGAAAACCCCAAATTTTTGGGGATTTTTTTGGGGAATTTTCGGGGAAATTTTGGGAATTTTCCCCTCATCCCAAAACCAGCAAAAAAAAAACAAAAAGGGGAAAAAAAATTTGGGATAAAAACGGTGCCATTTATACAAATATAGTGTTTTATAAACGGGAATTTCGGGAATTTTTTGGGAATTTGGGGATTTTTGGGAATGAAGGGGGAGGGGTTTCAAACCCTGAGCCGCTCCAGGAAATAATTTAGGGAATTTTTAGGAAATTTTAGGGATTTTTTAGGGAATTTTTTGGGATCAAAGTGCCTGGATTGCCACGCCTGGAAGCTCCTTAATTATTATTAATTATTCCTCAATTATTATTATTATTATTAATTAAAGATTGGAGCCCTCCCTTAATGAGGAGGAGGGCTCTTATTGCCTTTGGAGGGGCCCCTCCCCCCAAGGGGGAGGGGTTTCAAACCCTGAGCCGCTCCAGGAAATAATTTAGGGAATTTTTAGGAAATTTTAGGAATTTTTTAGGAAATTTTAGGGATTTTTTAGGGAATTTTTAGGGAATTTTTTGGGATCAAAGTGCCTGGATTGCCACGCCTGGAAGCTCCTTAATTATTATTAATTATTCCTCAATTATTATTATTATTATTATTAATTAAAGATTGGAGCCCTCCCTTAATGAGGAGGAGGGCTCTTATTGCCTTTGGAGGGGCCCCTCCCCCCCTTCCCGGAATTCCGGCCCCTCCCCCTTTTCCCAAAGGATCCGGGAATTCCGAGGGGGGGGGGGGGAGGCCTGGGAAGGTTCTGGAAAGTTCTGGAATTCCGTGGAAAGTTCTGGAAGATTTTGGATCCCTGTGGAAAGTTCTGGAATTCCATCGGAAGTTCTGGAATTTCTGGATCCCTGTGGAAGCACCTGGAAATGTTTGGAAAGTTCTGGAATTCCGCGGTAAGTTCTGGAAATTTTGGGTCCCTCAGGAAAGTTCTGGAAGTTTTGGATCCCTCAGGAAAGTTCTGGGATTTCTGGAATTCCGTGGGAAGTTCTGGACCCCCGTGGAAAGTTCTGGAATTCCGTGAAAAGTTCTGGATCCCAGTGGAAGCACCTGGAAATGTCTGGAAGTTCTGGAATTCCATGGAAAGTTCCGGAAGCTCTGGAACCCCATGAGAAGTTCTGGAATTCCATGGAAAGTTCTGGAAGCTCTGGAATTCCATTGAATGTCCTGGGATTTCTGCATCCCTATGGAAACATCTGGAAAGTTCTGGAATTCCATAGAAAATTCTGGGATTTCTGCACCCCCATGGTAAGCTTTAGGATCCCTGTGGAAGATCTGGAAAGTTCTGGAAATCCATGGAATGTTCTGGAATTTCTGGACCCTCACGGTAAGTTCTGAAAGTTCTGGAGCTCTGTAAAGTTCTGGATCCCTGTGGAAGCACCTGGAAAGTTCTGGAAGGCCTCTGGAAGGTTCCTCATCCATCTGGAAGCACTTGGAAAGTTCTGGAATGTTCTGGATCCGTAGGGAGTTCCTTGGATCGCTGTGGAAGATTCTGGAAGGTTCTAGAATCTCATGGAAAATTCTGGATCTGTAGGAGGAGTCTGGGATCCACTGGGAAGGTTTTGGATCACCACAGGAAGTTCTGGATCCACGTGGAAAGTTCTGGAATTCCAGGGGAGGTTTTGGATCCACAGAGAATGTTCTGGATCATCAGGAAGGGTCTTGGTCCCGTATGGAAGGTTCTGGATCCTTCTGGAATTCTGTGGAAGGTTCTGGACCCACAGGAAGTGTCTTGGTCCCGTATGAAAGGTTCTGGAATTCCATGGAATGTTCTGGACCTCTCAGGAATGGCCTTGGGTTCCTCAGGAATGTTCTGGATCCCCATGGAAGGTTCTTGGTCCTCTGTAGAAGGTTCTGGAACCCCCTGGAATGTTCTGGATCCCCAGGAAGGAGCTTGGTCCCATATGGAAGGTTCTGGACAGTTCTGGAATTCCATGGAAGGTTCTGGATCCACAGGGAAGGTTCTTCATCTCCGTGGAAGGTTCTGGAGTTTCATAGAATGTTCGGGAGCCACAGGGATGGGCTTGGATCCCATCAGGAACATTCTGGATCCTTCTGGAATGTCCAGGATCCACAGGGATGGTCTCAGTCCTGTCTGGGAAGTTCTGGATCCCCGGGAAGGGTCTTGGTCTCCTATGGAAGGTTCTGGATCCTTCTGGAATTCCATGGAAGGTTCTGGGTCCACAGGGAATGTCTTTCATCTCCCTGGAAGTTCTGGAATTCCATGGAATGTTCTGGAGCCAGGGGGATGGGGTGGGATCAGCTCAGGAATGCTCTGGATCCCATCAGGAAGGGTCTTGGTCTCCTATGGAAGGTTCTGGATCCTTCTGGAATTCCATGGGTTCTGGTGGAGCCAGGGGGATGGTGTGGGATCAGCTCAGGAATGCTCTGGATCCCATCAGGAAGGGTCTTGGTCCCCTTTGGAAGGTTCTGGAATTCCATGGAATGTTCTGGATCCACGAGGATGGCCATGGGTCCCTCAGGAACGGTTTGGATCCCACCAGGAAGATTTTGGAATCCTCAGGAATGTTCTGGATCCACAGGAGGGGATCTTGGCCCCTACGGAAGGTTCTGGATCCTTCTGGAAGGCTCTGGAATTCCATGGAATGTTCTGGATCCACGGGGATGGTGTGGGATCAGCTCAGGAATGTTCTGGATCCACAGGAGGGGATCTTGGCCCCTACGGAAGGTTCTGGATCCTTCTGGAAGGCTCTGGAATTCCATGGAATGTTCGGGATCCCTCAGGAACGTTCTGGATCCACAGGGATGGCCTTGGGTCCCTCAGTAACGTTCTGGATCCGCAGGAGGGGGTTTGGTCCCATATGGAAAGTTCTGGATCCTGCTGGAAGGTTCTGGAATTCCGTGGAATGTTCTGAATGGACAGAGATGGTCTTGGATCCCTCTGGAATGTTCTGGATCCCATTGGGAAGGTCTTGGATCTGATTTCTCTGTCCCAGGAAGAAAATTCTGGCTCCCAGTGAGGTCTCCTGGTGCTCCAAAGCCCTGGAGATGCTCCTGATGGGATCCACCACAATTCCAGAGGATTTCTCTATCCCAGTGGATCCCAGTCAGGTCTCCTGGTGCTCAGAAGCTCCCAAGAAGCTCCTGGTGGGATCCACCACAATTCCAGGGGATTTCTCCATCCCAGTTTGATCCCAGTAGATCCAGTCATCGTTCCTGGTGTTCCAGATCCCTGGAGAAGATCCTGATGGGATCCACCACAATTCCAGATGGTTTCTCCGTCTCACAAAGTCCCAGTGGATCCCAGTAGATCCCCTCACAGTCCCTGGTGCTCAGAAGCTCCCGAGAAGATCCTGGTGGGATCCATCACCATTCCAGAGGATTTCTCCATCCCACCAAGTCCCAATGGATCCCAGTAAGTCCCAGGGGATCCCCTCAGGGCTCCTGGTGCTCAGAAGCTCCCAAGAAGATCCTGATGGGATCCATCCCAGGGATCTCCTCAGAGTTCCTGGTGCTCCAAAGCTCCCGAGAAGCTCCTGGTGGGATCCATCCTGGTGGGATCCATCCTGGTGGATCCCAGTCACGGTTCCTGGTGTTCCAAAGCTCCTGGTGGGATCCATCCCAGGGATCTCCTCAAGGTTCCTGGTGCTCCGACGCTCCCGAGAAGATCCTGGTGGGATCCATCCTGCTGGGATCCATCCCGGTGGGATCCATCCTGTGGGATCCATCCTGGTGGATCTCCTCATTAGCAAAAAGAGGATTTTTTTTGGTAAAAAATGGGAATTTTTGAGGGAAAAAATTGAGATTTTTTGGCCAAAAAATTGGGATTTTTAAAGGTAAAATCTTTTTTTTTAGGGATTTTTTTGGGTGCTTTTAGTGCTTAATTTGGTTTTTTTTCTTGAATTTTTAATATTTTGGGGGGAAAATTTGGATTTTTTGGTAATTTTTGAGGGAAAAACGGGATTTTTTGGTGTTTGGGGGATTTTTGGGGAATAATGCTGATTTTATAGGGAATAATGGGAATTTTTGAGGGAATAATGGGAAGTTTTTGGGAATAATAATGATTTTATAGGGAAAAATGGGAATTTTTGGAGGAAAATGGGAATTTTTAGGGATTAATGACAATTTTCTAGGAAATAATGCTGATATTTTTAGGGGAAAATGGGAATTCTTAGGAAATAATGATGATTTTTTAGGGAAAAAAAAGTGATTTTTTAGGGAAAATGTGATTTTTTTTTAGGAAATAATGCAAATTTTTAAGGAAAAAAGTCGTTTTTTAGGGAATAATGGCATTTTGGAGGGAATTTTGGGGGAAAAAAGGGAATTTTTTGGGGAAAAAGGGAATTTTGGGGGGGAAAAAGTGGAATTTTTTTGGGAAAATCGGGATTTTGGGGGAAAAAAGGGATTTTTTGGGTGAAAAAAGGGAATTTTTGGGTGAAAAAAAGAAAATTTTTTGGGTTAAAAAGGTATAATTTTGGGGGATAAAAGGGAATTTTGGGTGAAACAAGGGAATTTTGGGGGGAAAAAGTGGATTTTTTTTGGGAAAAACGGGATTTTGGGGGGAAAAAGGGAATTTTGGGGGGAAAAAGTGGAATTTTTTTGGGAAAAATTGGATTTTGGGGGGAAAAAGGGAATTTTTGGGTGACAAAGGGAATTTTTGGGTGAAAAAAAGAGAATTTTTTGGGTTAAAAATGGGATTTTTGGGGGGAAAAAAGGGAATTTTTGGGGAAAAAAGGGAATTTTTTTGGGAAAAAAGGGAATTTCTTGGGGGGAAATAAGGGAATTTTGGGGGGAAAAAGGGAATTTTTGGGGGGAAAAAGAGAATTTTTTGGGTTAAAAAGGAATTTTTTTGGGGGGAAAAAAGGGAATTTTTTGGGGAAAAAAGGGAATTTTTGGGGGAAAAAGGGGGATTTGGGCAGGAAAAAAGAGGATTTTGGGGGGAAAAAGGGAATTTGGGGGGAAAAAAGGAGAATTTTTTGGGGAAAAAGAGATAATTTTTGGGGAAAAAGGGAAATTTTGGGGTAAAAAAGGGAATTTGGGGTAAAAAAAGGGAATTGGGGTGCTCCCACCTTCTCCAGGTCGCTGTGCAGCTGCCTCAGCATCGCCTCCAGCTGGGAAACTTTTCCTGGCAGGTCCAGGGGGGCAGGGGAGGGGCTGGGGGGCAAAAATTGGCAAAATTTGGGAGAAAAATCCCAAAAATGGCCCAAAAGAATCGATCCCACCCAAAAAAAAAAATCACATTTTCCCCCAAAATCCTTTTAAACCCCAAAATTTCTTCTTTTCATCCAAATTCTCCATTCCCTCCCCACCCAAATTTGCTTTTCTCGCCCCCAAATTTCCTCCCCAATTTTGGAATTTCCCAAAATTCCCCATTTTTTACCCAGAACTCCATCCCAAAATTCCTAAAAATTCACATTT